GCGGCGGTGAAGGCCAGCACGGTGAGCAGGAGCAGCGCTGCCAGCACCAGGCAGGGGATGAGGAGGGGCGATCCCAATCCTGCATCCGAGGGACCTCCATCGGCTGGGATAGAGAACGGGCACAGCTCGGGATGCCCCTTCCCGCAGGGATGGGGGACACCCGGATCCCCCCCCTTTTTCCTCCCTAGGGCAACGGGCTGCTCTGCAGAGCACCCACCTCTCAGGACCGTGGTATTCGGGGTCCCCGTTGCCATCGGGGTCGGGGTCTGCAAACCCAAAGAGCCTGGAAGGAGGGGAGAAGGATGTGGGGGACACACACACACACACACAAAGAAGCTCATCCCTGGTGGTCCCCAGTGGCTCAGCTGCCCCAATACCCACCGAGGCACCAAGAGCAGGCGGATGGGGAGCCGTACCGTTGCAGACCACGCCGGCCGCCCGGGACTGGTAGCAAGGGGATGACTTATTGAACACCCAGTGGCAATAAGCCAGCGACGGCTGGAGGCTCTCGCACTTGTAGAACATCCTCGCCGGCAGCGTGTGCCCATAGGAGAGGGTCCGGAGCGGGGCCCCGCAGCCCAGCGAGCTGCACAGCACCCTGCTCTCCAGCTCGTACCAGGCGCTGTCGCACACCGTGCTCCACGTACCCTGGAAGAGCACCTCCAGCCGGCCAGCGCAGCCATCCCGGCCCCCCGACAGCCGCCACCGGTGATGCTCTGCAGGGATACGGGGAGCTGGGACGCGCCGATGCGTCCCCGCGGCTTCTGGCGCAGCAATCGCGGAGCAGGGAACGGGTTGGGATGGAAGGGAGATGCTCCGGGGGATGAAGGTTTCGCTGCTTGAACCGGGGGGAGGTTTAAGAGCCCTTCCAACGCACCCGTTACCGCGGTGTCCATCCCACCTGAGCACACCACGGCGGCATCCTCCTTATGGCTGCAGTCGTGCTCCCGCTCCGCCGGGCATTGCCAGAGGTGCTCCTCGTGGCCCTCGCAGCCCATCTCATCCCGGAGGATGGAGCCGTTGCCGCGGCCGTAAGCGGCACCGCCGTGGGCGCTCACGGCACGGCCGCACCGCAGCTGCCGGCACACGACGTTGGCATCGGCCAGGTCCCAGCCGTCGTCGCACACCGTGCCCCAAGCGCCTTCCTCCTCCAGCTCCACCCGGCCCTCGCACCGGCTCCGGCCCCCCGCCAGCCGCAGCGCACCGGGACCTGCGGAGGAGCGGGATGAGGGCGGCCGCGGTGGTCCCCCATAGGGAGCAGCGGTGCCGGCATCCCAATGGGGCACTGGTCCTGCCCTGCTCACCTGGCGCCACCGAGGCGGTGCCCACTGGGGTGCTGGGAGGTGCTGGTGGATCCGTGGGGGCTGCGAGGAGGAAGGCGAAGAGGATGGGGGGCAGAAGGGGGGCAGGAATGAGCGCCCGTGAAGTGATGCTCTGATGGGGAAGGATGCTCAAAATGGCTTCCCCAGCCGCACAAAATGGACGGCCTCTTCTTGCACCCCTCAACCTCGATCCCAATGGGCCTTACATCCGCCTTGGGATGGGAACGGCCCCCCCAGGGCCCAATCCTGGTGCGGGATCCGCTCACAGGATGGGGGAGGCAGGATCTGGCCCTAAAGGCGGTGATTTAGGGGCAGGACTCACGGGTGGAGAAGCCAAAGCGTTGGGTACCACGATCCCGGGATGCTGCCGCTGCCCAGCTCGCTGCTCCTGCTGATGGAGAGGGGTTCTTGCTGCCTGTATCTGCCTGTATCCACCTGTATCCACCTGTATCCACCTGTATCCACCTGTATCCGCCTGTATCCCCAACCCAGCCCCTCTGAGCCATCACTGCAGGTGCGTGGATGCTGTTTCCACCACGGTGCTGCTTTAGGCTCGATCCCATCCTCCTTGTCCCCGCTTTCCCATCCCTTCCCCTCACTGCACGCCTGCAGCCAAGCCGCTTTTCCATGGTTATCCCTGGAAAACCCCAGCCGTTGCTCCTTTGGGATGAAGGATGCACCCCCATGGTTGAAGCTGAGGTAGCTTTCAGCATCACCACCGCCAAAACCATGGCTTGCTCGGTGCCCCGATGAGTTTTGACCAAAAAAGGGCACTTTTTGCCACTGCTGTGTCCTCCCAGCGTGCTGATGGAGCCCAGTCCTTGGCCATGGGTCACTGCTGGAGCCCGTTCCCACCTGTGCTCATCCACCACTGCGAGAGGCACCCATAGGTGTTTAGGGGGATGCGTTGGGTGGGTGTCTCCATGGGAAACCCCCCCCCCTTTTAGGCTTTGGCTTAGTGTTAAAGGAGAAGGATAGGGATGAACGTAGGAGCTCGGGATGAGCTGCTCCATGGGCTCCTGGTGCTGCTGGCACCGTGCTCCAGCCCAGAGCATCGTGTGGAAGGCATGGAGAGGAGCCGTTAGCGGAAGCGGGGGTGATGGTGACCGTTCCCCATGGATCTGAGGCTGCTCCTGGCACCCTCGTGGATGTGAAACCACCCTAAAGCCCCACCGGGGACAGTGGGGAGCAAGCGGCATCACCCCCAAAACCATCCCTGCGTGATGCTGCTGACACCAGGAGGGCTTTTGGTGCTGCCGGCAGCAGGAGAGCATCGCCTTGTCCCTGCGGGGCTGCAGGGGGGATGGACCTGAGGGCTTCCCAGCCCCATATTCCTTACTCCCACCCAGTGAGGATGGGATGAGCGCGGCAAGCGCCTCGGGAAGGAGAAAACCTGGCCTTTAGAGAGCACCCTCCCTATCCACACCACAGCACCCGCTGCCCCAGCAGCACCCAGCCAAGGAGGTGACCAGGACTCCTTGCCCTGGCACGCAGCAAGGGATGGGAAGGGAAGGGATGAGGATGCTGATGTACCTTGTCCAGATGCCGCAGCAGAAAGAGCTGCCACGACGAGGCAGATCCTCTCCATCCTCCTCAGGCAATGTGGGGCAGCCCCATAGCGGTCGGGGGGGGCTGTGGGGCGCGTGGTCCTGTCCTGTTCTAGCAGCTCAGGGCCATGGTGTGGATGTGCCCCAGCGCGGTACCCACTGCTCTCTGCTCCTTGCCTGTGGTTGGGGGTGCAGGAAGCCAGCTCAGCGCCGTGGGGCGGAGGAGCTCGATGGGGTGGCTCCATCCTGCACGTTCAGAGGGAGGAAATGGGGGGTCCGGGGGAGGCGAGGTCCATGCCACGCACCTGCAGCATCCCTCGGGGCGACGGGAGGCACCAGGACCATGCTCAGCCCCTGCAGGATGTGGATCTTTGCCATCACGGGGCTGGGACAGCATCACACGGTGGGGCTCAGGCTCCCCCAGGTGCTAGGACCTCTATGGGGTGATGGAGCAGAGCGCGGGGCTCCTTCCTCCTCCTCTGGGGTGGGATGTGGGCAGGAGGATGCTTGGGAGGTGGGATGCATCCAGATCCATGCCACAGACCCGCAGGGGACAGCCCATGGGGACCATGAGGACGTGCCACCAGTTAGCACTGGAGGAAGGGGGTCGGCAGCAGGGAGCTGGGTGCTGTGACCAGACTGGGTCCCATCCTGAAGGGCTCTTCCCTAGCACAGGGTGCCCCATTCCCTAGCTGCCCCATCAGTGCTCAAGGCCAGGCTGGACACAGGGGTCCCTGCAATGGCACTGGGTGAGCCTGAAGCTCCCTTCCAACCCTAGGGAACCCCAGGGGAGGGTTGTTTGGGCTTTGTGCTGACCCCGATGGGTGCTGATGGGTGCACGTGGGGCTCAGACGCCCCGACAGCAGCAGAGCCCCCAGCTTTGGTGCTGAGGACCACAGTGAGGGTGAGCAAAGGCCTCCAGGCATGGAGGAAGCAGAAGGAAAGCCCCCAGCAAGGAGAAGCCACGTTGGCTGATGGGGACCTGCAGTCCTGGGCCATCGTATGGGGCTTGCATGGAGCAGGCATGAGGAACCGGGAGGTGGGGAGGGACCAGAGCACAGGGCTCTGATGGGACACTTGGTGGGGTGAGGAGCCAGCACCAAGCCCTTTGGTTCTTAATAGGGCTGATGAGGGGCAGGCCCCTTGCAAGGCCGTGCTGGTGATGGAGGCCTTGGAGCAGGCAGCATCACATCCAACCTGGGGCAGCCCCTTCCCCTTTGTGGGGGTACCTGTGCACCCCATGCCTGCCTCTTCCTCCCAGGGGCCTCCTGCTCACCCATCGGAGGCCGATGCCTGCCTGGGCTCCTATGGGTCTGTGGGCCCCAGCCTGTGCCTCCTATGGGTCTGGGCTCTGCTGCCCATCACCACGGTGCTGGCTGGGAGCCGCATCCCTGTGGTCCCCATGGGGAGCTGGGGGGATGGTTTGAGCCCCATGTGGGGCAGCGGGAAGGGGAAGGATGGGGATCCTAGCAGGAGCAGGGTGACTCCAAGGGTGATTTGGGGGTGTCTTGGGGCTGGGAATGGGCTGGAACCCATTGTCATTGGGGGGGGGGAGTGCTTTGCTGGAGCTCGGGACAACCCCAGGAGCAGGCAGGGATGAGCTGGATGGGAGGAAGAGGAGGAGGAGGAAGGCAGGAGACCCCCATTCGCCAAGGTCACCCTCCTGGACCGCAGGCAGCACGAGGCTTTGGAGCCATGCCACGACCTGCATCCCTGCGGTCAGGATGCGGCCGGGAGCTGCTCGTGTCCTCTCCAACACTTTATTGCCTGTCGCAAGGTCGGGGTGAACCCCCCTCCATAAATAACACCCCCCCTTTCCCCCCCCCCCTCCCAGCACATGGGACAGGTACAAAAACATCACTCGTACAAACCCGGACCCACCACAGGACCCAGCATCATCGGCATCACTATGAACACAAGGGCACAACGAGACCCTAAGCAGTAAGGACACCCCCCTTTCACCAGCGTGATGGCCACAGACCCCAAGGACCTGCGTGAAGACCCCAGCACCACCACCACCACCACGGAGCGGTCCCCGAGCCCATGCATGTGTGTCCCTATAGCGGCACAAGGAGGAGGTCGGTCCCTTACTGCCTTGCCCGGGGCTGGGGAGGAAGAGGAGGAGGGGGGAAACACTGGGAGCTGCCCCCTGCCGTGGTCAGGAGCTGCCCCGGATCCTCTCCATGTAGCTGCGGAGCTCCTCGGGGTCCCGCAGCCCCATGTCCTCGCACACCCAGCGGATGTCGTCCTCGCTGGCCACCAGGATGGACTGGACGTTGGGGACGGGCTCGGGGGGCTCCTCGGGGGCCCGCGATGGGGAGAAGGTGACAAATTCCACCCTCTTCCTCCGGCCACCCCTTGGGGCTCCACCTTCCCTATGGGGCTGGGGAGCACCCGTTGGGGTTGGGGGGCTGGGGGTACCCCCCGCTTCGGAGCCGCAGCAGCAGCGCCCATCGGGGGCCTCGTCGGGGGCCGGGGGCTCGGGCTGCCGCCGGTCCAGCTGCCGGCTCAGCTCCTCCTGGTCGGTGCCCAACCAGACCCAGTTGTGGGGCTGCGGGGCCGAGGGGGCGGCGGCGGCGTCGGGCAGCTCCTTCTGCTGGTAGCGCAGCACGAAGAAGATGCAGTTGATGAGGAAGATGAAGATGGCCAAGCAGAAGACCCCCAGCAGGACGTACATGCCGATCTCCAGGTCGGTTACGCGCTCGGGAGCCTTCACCATCTCCTCCTCCTCCTCCTCCTCCTCCTCCCCAGCGCGGTTACGGCCGTACCCATCCTCCTCTTCCTCCGAGGAAGACCCCCCCCTTTGGAGCTTGGTGTCGGCCGGTCCCGCTCCCGCTGCATCCCTCCTGCGGGGCTCGCTGGCCGCCGTCACCGCCTCCCCCGACATGGCCCCTTCCGCCCTTTGGAAGGGGGAGCTGGGCCCATGGGGGGGACCGGGGGTGGCAGCGGGGTGGCCCCCCAGCACCTCGAGCCAGGCGGTGCCGGTGGCCAGCGCGGCGGCTCGGTGCCGACCCCGGCGGCAGGCGTCCGGAGGGTGCAGGCTGAGCTGCAGCAGCGCCCCGCGCCCCGGGCCCTCGGCCACCACCCATGGGTGCGCGGTGGGGACCCCCGGGGAGCCCCCGATGGTGGCCACGGTGGGGTCGAGCGAGGTTACGGTCAAAGCCGTGTCCTGCCACCCATAGAGCTCCAGCGGGGCCAGAGTGTGGTCGGAGAAGGACAACCAGACCGAGAGCGTCGCCTCCTGCAAGGGTGGGATGGCACCGGGAGGAGTGGGAGGGGTTGGGATGAAGGGAGCTTAAAGCTCATCCAGCCCCAACCCCAACCCCTTCCATCAGAGCAGGGGGCTCCAAGCCCCTGTATCCTTGAACACTGCCAGGGATGGGGCAGCCACAGCTTCTCTGGGCACCCTGTGCCAGCGCCTCAGCACCCTCACAGGGAAGAGCTTCTGCCTAAGAGCTCATCTCAGTCTCCCCTCGGGCAGGTTCAAGCCATTCCCCTTGGCCTGTCCCTACATCCCTTGTCCCAAGCCCCTCTCCACGTTTCCCCTTCAGGCACTGGAGCTGCTCAGCCCCGGTTCACCCCCAGCCCAGCTCTCACCTGCTTGGGCACCCGCAGGGTCCCAGTGCCCATGGCACTGGCGGTCACCAGCCCGCGGTGCCCCGGCTCTGCCCGCACCGCCAGGGACAGCCCCGACACGAGCTGGGCCCGGAGCTCCGTCACCGTCACCTTCTCCTCCGACACCACCAGCGTCTGCTCCCCCAGGATGGAGTCCGACAGCGGGGAGCGGACCTGGGCCATTGGAGGGGGGAATGGGACACTGTGAGCCCCCAGATCACACCTCCAGCCTCTGACACCCATGGCCTGATCCTCAGCCCCTCCAGTTCCCTCTGTCCAGCTCCTGCATCCCTCCCTCCATCCCCTGTATCCCTCCCTCCATCCTCTGCATCCCTCCCTCCATCCCCTGCATCCCTCCCTCCATCCTCTGCATCCCTCCCTCCATCCTCTGCATCCCTCCCTCCATCCTCTGCATCCCTTCCTCCACCCCTCCCTCCATTCCCTGCATCCCTCCCTCCATCCCCTCCATCCCTCCCTCCATCCTCTGCATCCCTCCCTCCATCCTCTGCATCCCTTCCTCCACCCCTCCCTCCATCCCCTGCATCCATCCCTCCATCCCTTCCTCCATCCCCTCCATCCATCCCTCCCATCCATCCCTCCCTCCCCTCTATCCCCCCCCTCCATCCCTTCCTCCATCCCTCCCTCCATCCCTTCCTCCATCCCTCCCTCTGTCTCCTCCATCCCTCCCTCCACCCCTCCCTCCATCCCCTGCATCCCCCCCTCCATCCCTTCCTCCACCCCCTGCATCCTCCCCTCCACCCCCTGCATCCCTCCCAGCTCCCCTCTGCCCACCTCGAGCCCCCCATCTCCCTCCCTCTGGCTCCAGACCCCCTCCTCCCTCCATCTCTCCAGCCCCTGCACCTCTCCAGCTTCCCACTGCTCCCCTTTGCACCCCGTTACCTCCCTCCAGGACTCCCCTATCTCCCTTCAGAACCCACTGGCACCCTCCAGGACCCCTTTGACACACCCCCAGCTCCCTATAACCCCTCCTGGAACCCCTTTATCTCCCTCCAGGACCCTTTACGCGATGTCAGCTTCCCCAAGGACACCCCTGCACCCTCACAGCTTCCCCAAGCACCTCTCAGGACCCCCTATTTCCCCCCAGAACCCCCCTATCTCCCTCCAGGACCCCCCAGGACCCTCCTATCTCTCCCTAGGACCCCCCCCCCCAGGACTCTCCTATCTCTTCCTAGGACCCCACTGCACCCCTAAGAACCCCCCCATCTCCCTCCAGGACCCCCTAGGACCCCCCTATCTCTCCCTAGGACCCCCTTATCTCCCTCCAGGACCCCCAGGACCCTCCAATCTCTCCCTAGGACCCCCCAATCTCTCCCTAGGGCCCCCCCTATCTCCCTCCAGGACCCCCCATAACTCTCCAATTTCTCCCTAGGACCCCCTTATCTCCCTCCAGGACCCTCCAGAACCCCCCTATCTCTCCCTAGCCCCCCCTTATCTCTCCCCTGGACCCCCCAGGACCCTCCTATCTCTCCCTAGGACCCCCCTATCTCCCTCTAGGACCCCACTGCACCCCTAAGAACCCCCTATCTCCCTCCAGGACCCCCTAGGACCCCCCTATCTTTCCCTAGGACCCCCCTATCTCTCCCTAGGACCCCCTTATCTCCCTCCAGGACCCCCCAGGACCCTCCAATCTCTCCCTAGGACCCCCCTATCTTTCCCTAGGACCCCCCTATCTCCCTCCAGGACCCCTCATAACTCTTCAATCTCTCCCTAGGACCCCCCTATCTTTCCCTAGGACCCCCCTATCTCTCCCAAGGACCCCCCTATCTCCCTCCAGGACCCCTCATAACTCTTCAATCTCTCCCTAGGACCCCCCTATCTCCCTCTAGGACCCCACTGCACCCCTAAGAACCCCCCTATCTCCCTCCAGGATCCCCCAGGACCCCCCTATGTCTCCCTAGGACCCCCTTATCTCCCTCCAGGACCTCCAGAACCCTCCAATCTCTCCCTAGGACCCCCCTCTCTTTCCCTAGGACCCCCCTATCTCTCCCTAGGACCCCCCCATCTCCCTCCAGGACCCCCTCCAGAACTCTCCTATCTCTCCCCAGAACCCCCCAATCTCTCCCTAGCCCCCCCCTATCTCTCTCCAGGACCCCTCAGGACCCTCCAATCTCTCCCTAGCCCCCCCCATCTCCCTCCAGGACCCCACTGCTCCCCCCCCAGCTCCCTCCAGGCCCCTCAGCTCCATCCCTGTCCCCATCCCCATCCCCATCCTTATCCCCATCCCTGTCCCCATCCCCATCCCCATCCCCATCCCCATCCCCATCCCCATCCCTACCTCCACCGAGGTGACCCCTGGCTCCAGCCCCACCACGACGGGTCCCGGCTCCAGCGCGGCCACGCGGGGGTCCTGGACGCGGGTGCGTGCGGCCACCAAGGGGGTGACATCGAGGAGCCAGGCGGGGCCGGGCAGGAAGGCGAGGGGCCGGCCCCCGGCCAGCGGCCGCGCCGCGAAGCGAGCCAGGACCCGCAGCGCCGTGCGCTGGAACTGAGGGCGGCAGCCGCGGCCCCGGCCGACCCCATCCCGGGAACCGGCACCGGCACCGGGCTCCTCCGGAGAGCTGCGGGGGCACCGGGAGGTGGGAACGGGGCCGGCGGGGGGGGGGATAGGGTGGTACCAGGGAGTGGGGATGGGGATGGGACATGGGGACACCGGGACACAGGGATGGGGATGGGACATGGGGACACCGGGACACAGGGATGGGGATGGGTGGTACCAGAGTATGGGGATGAGTCACGGGGATGGGGATGGGGATGGGACATGGGGATGGGGATGGGGATGGGGATGGGGATGGGGATGGGGATGGGACATGGGGATGGGGATGGGGATGGGACATGGGGATGGGGATGGGGATGGGGATGGGACATGGGGATGGGGAGGGGGATGGGGATGGGGATGGGGATATGGGGACACCGGGCCCGGGGATGGGGATGGGATTGGGTGGTCCTGGCGTGGGGATGGGGATGGGGGACATGGGGATGGGGATGGGGATGGGGATGGGGATGGGGATGGGGAGACATGGGGGTGGGGATGGGGATGGGGGGGGACATGGGGGTGGGGATGGGACAGCACGGGGATGGGGATGGGGATGGGACATGAGGGTGGGGATGGGGATGGGGATGGGGACCTCATGGGGATGGGGATGGGACATGGGGATGGGGGGGATGGGGATGGGACATGGGGATGGGAACCTCACTGCTCCAGCTTCCTGCCATGGGGATGGGGATGGGGATGGGGATGGATATGGGGACACCGGGACTCCGGGGATGGGGATGGGATTGGGGGATGGGAGTGGGGATGGGGATGGGGATGGGACCTCACAGGGATGGGGATGGGACATGGGGATGGGGATGGGGATATGGGGGGCCACCCCAACCTCACTGGGCTTCCTGGGATGGGGATGGGGATGGGGGGGACATGGGGATGGGGATGGGTGTCAGGGGGAGACTGGGACAGATGGGGACCTCACTGCTGCTTCCAGGGCCATGGGGATGGGGATGGGACATGGGGGTGGGGATGGGGATGGGATTGGGTGGTACCAGGGCATGGGGACGGGCCACAGGGATGGGACATGGGGATTGGGATGGGACATGGGGATGGGGATGGGACAGGGGGACACCGGGACACGGGGGTGGGGATGGGATTGGGTGGTAGTAGAGCATGGGGATGAGTCACGGGGATGGGGATGGGACATGGGGCTGAGGATGGGGATGGGACATGGGGGTGGAGTTGGGGATGGGGATATGGGGACACCGGGACACGGGGATGGGGATGGGATTGGGTGGTACCAGGGCGTGGGGATGGGGATGGGACATGGGGATGGGGATGGGGATGGGGATAGGGATGGGACGTAGGGACACTGGGACACGGGGATGGGGATGGGACATGGGGATGGGGATGGGACATGGGGGGGACATGGGGATGGGGATACATGGGACATGGGGACAGCTTCCTGGGATGGGGATGGGACATGGGGACACCGGGACACAGGGATGGGGATGGGTGGTACCAGAGCATGGGGATGAGTCATGGGGATGGGGATGGGACATGGGGATGGGGATATGGGGGCACTGGGACACGGGGATGGGGATGGGGATAGTGATGGGACATGGGGACACGGGGGCACGGGGATGAGGATGGGATTGGGTGGTACCAGGGCATGGGGATGGGACACGGGGATGGGGATGGGACATGGGGATGCGGATGGGGGATGGGCCATGGGGATGGGGATGGGGATGGGACATGAGCGATGGGGATGGCGATATGGGGACACCAGGACACAGGGATGGGGATGGGACATGGGGATGGGGATGGGGATGGGGAGGGCGATGGGGATAGGGATGGGACACAGGGACACTGGGACACGGGGATGAGGATGGGACATGGGGGCACCAGGACACGGGGATGGGGATGGGATTGGGTGGTACCAGGGCATGGGGATGGGACACGGGGATGGGGATGGGACATGGGGATGGGGATATGGGGGCACTGGGACACAGGGATGGGGATGGGGATGGGACATGAGGGTGGGGATGGGGATATGGGGACACCAGGACACGGGGATGGGGATGGGACATGGGGATGGGGATGGGACATGGGGATGGGGAGGGTGATGGGGATAGGGATGGGACATGGGGACACTGGGACATAGGGATGGGGATGGGATATGGGGGCACAGGGATACGGGGGTGGGGATGGGATTGGGTGGTAGCAGAGTATGGGGATGAGTTATGGGGATGGGGATGGGACATGGGGATGGGGATGGGGATGGGGATAAGGATGGGACGCAGGGACACTGGGACACGGGGATGAGGATGGGACATGGGGGCACCAGGACACGGGGATGGGGATGGGATTGGGTGGTACCAGGGCATGGGGATGGGACATGGCAGATATGGGGACATGGAGATGGGACACAGGGACAGGGGTGGGGATGGGGGGTACTGGGATATGGGGATGGGACACGGGGGGGAGCAGGGGATGGGGATGGGGGGCACAGGTGGTACCGGCACGTGGGGAT